AAAATGCGAGGTCAATTTTAAAGGAAAAATCCCCGGAGCGAAAAGGTTAATCACGATTGGGAGAAGTTATAGGAGATAGAGAATAGATTTAAGTGTCAAGTTGCAAGATATGCGTGGATCTTAGAAGGACAATATTAAGTGCAATTTAGACGTAACTAAGATAATGTACAAAGTAGAAGTAATTAGGGTAAGAAAGCGATATGTGTAGGTTGGGAGAATGGGAGACGCTAAGGTATGGATGGATGGATGAGATATTAGAAAGCTTTTAAACCAAGTCCCCTTCTTGGCCGGGAAGGCTGATGTGAATAAATAAATAAATATATTATTTTCTATGTAAATTGCTTAAAACGCAAAATTATCAATACACAATAGAGACATAGTAATATATTGATTTGTTAAAACAAAATTACAATTCAACATATTACCATTTGATTAAAACAATAAGTCGATATAATCATATTCCTGATTCGAGTGTTAGTAATTCGCTTTAATGGGTGCTGCAAATTTTGCAGCAACAATGAATCGCGCTTTAATGAACAGTCCTTGATTCTGTGCGTCTGCAATGTATTAAACACATAAATTACATACCAAATTGCTTCATTGCATGCAAAACTTATATTGCAAGGAAATTTGTGAAAAATTTTTTTCGCAAAGTTTATCGATCGATAAGCCTCTCGCGCGTGTAGTTGAGAAATGTAAAGAGGCAAGTTTTCCATGAAGCGACCGCTCTATCGAGTTTACTGGGCGAAATCACTGTTTGTTCGACGCCAAGGAGAAAAATTCATGCAGATCGTACGATGTAAATCGTGCCAAAACTCGATTGTACCGTAACCTAACGAGAATCGATAAAGCAATTCGTTTCGATAAGACGAGGGATGCTGTGCTTCTTTGTACCGGAAGGAGCGCGATAAAAATTCTCGATGGATCTTAGGCCAATAAAATATGCTTCCTTGAAACGTGGATAAATTCATCCGAGATGCAAAACGTTGTTTGTGAAATCTATATAAATCAATTACCACATTGCCGCTTAATTGCAATAACTAAGTGTAACAATAATGATCAATTGTGTTCGCATCCCCCTTTCATATCTTTCTCTCTATTTCTCATTCAAATCGTTTAATAAAATTATATCTCTTTCAAAACTAGCAATTACAATTTAAATAGCGTCAACAAAAAAAATAATTAAGGAGTTAGATCATCCCCGAGACTCTTAATGATACGTAAATTTGAGAATTTTTTGAGAGTAAATAAGCAACTTTATTAATATATAAAATCTGCTTTATTATATATATATATATAATTATATATATATATATTATAG